AAGAACCGTGCCGGGACAGCTACCAAAACTCCCGTTGTTGATGCGAGCGACACGTGGCTGACACGTTTCATTCCCAAAAAACTGTTTATAGACGCAGCCGTTCGATTATGAGAATATCCATTTGGGGAAATATAATAGTCTAGGGGTCAAGAGTCTGACACGTGGATATATTATTCGGCGTCGTTTTAATTGAGAACACGTCATACTCTATGATGTCAACAGCGGTTGACCAATCAAAAGAAGCGATCAAGCCAGCAGGGCAAAATGAACCATTACCGTAGGTTCAAATGGATGCGTCGATGGAAATCTAATATAGAAAAGATCGATGAGAATAGCAATGGGCTCTGTTTCTGGTGCTCCTTTCGATTAAGCGCCTAAAACCCAACACAGAGACGGAGAAGAAAGAGTTATATTTAAGAAGAGTCAATAGATTGTTGAGGTTTCAATTCCTCGATAATTCAAATAAAAAGGCTCTCCTTTCTTTCTTGTTCCGTCTCATATCAGGTATGAAATTTCCTTTATTTTGTATTGTATTTTAAAAAAAAACCCTAGATTTGATCTTTTTAGTATTAAATTTGGATTTTAGGCTGGAATTTGGAAGAAGGGATTGTATCGAAGCTTGAATTGAGGGGAGATAGCCAAGGGATCAAATTCGCTTCTTTTTTTTAATCATGTCAGGTGAATTGTTACGAGTTTTTTTTAATCATGCCTGTTTATGGGGTGTCTGTCGGCATTTGGTGGTGAACGTGGCGTTGAAGTTGTTCCTATTCGTTTTAATCCTGTAGGTTTGATTCATTCCAAGAGGTGGAATTTGATTGGCATTATATTCAATTAAGGGAGATTTTCAATTGCAATGATGGATTTTCTTTCGTCTAAACCTGATAAAAGTCCAATTGCTCCTGCCCCTCCCATAATCTCCCCTGTAGCACCTAGATTTCCTCCATCTAATTTACAACAAGATCAGATACCTTCCTCTTCAATAAATATCCCATTATGCTATCACCGGAAAATGGGGTCAAACAGGAAGCTCTGTTTCCCATTTGAGTACTCCCCCTGGCCCCCCTGTATTTACATCACCAGTTCGGCCTGCTGCTGTGCCTTTCCGAACCTCTCCTGTAACTCCTCAGCCAGTTGCTCTCGCGTCAGTCTCATCTTTGCCCACATCTTCCCCTCCATATTTTTCGAATGGGTCAGTGGAGCTGCAACAGCAACTTCCCAATGCTATTGAGGAACCTGTGCCCGATGGAAAGCCACCATGCGTTTTATTCTCAGCTCATAAGGTATCTCTTATTCTTTGAGGGATGAAATGAGAAGCTGAATTATTTTTATTGTTTTAATTTCTCTTTTCTAAGATTTTGCTATCAAAATCTTGAATTTCTATTTCAGATTTTATGATTATGCACATATTATTATATTTTACTGTTTATCTTTGCGGTTATATGCACTATTTCTATCTATAATTGATTTTTCCTCTTACATTATTTTTTTGTATCAGGTGTTGAAACACAAGAAACAAGCAAATGTACCTAGTTTAGGTTTTGGAGTATTGGTTTCTCCTAGAAGGGAGGCTTCACCAGGTCCTCCAGTGGTACAACGGGATCCTCATCGATGCCATGATTGTGGAGCTTATTCAAATCTGTATTCCAACATACTAATTGGCTCAGGCCAATGGCAGTGTGTAATCTGCGGGAATCTAAATGGAAGTGAAGGTGAATACATAGCACTGAGCAAGGAAGAGCTTAGTAATTTTCCTGAGTTGTCATCATCTTTGGTTGATTTCATTCAAACAGGGAATAAGAGACCAAGTTTTGTTCCAGTTACTGATTCGAAAACTTCTGTACCGGTGGTTCTTGTCGTTGATGAATGTTTAGATGAGCCACACCTTCAGCATTTACAGAGCTCCTTGCATGCATTTGTTGATTCACTGCCATCAACAACAAGAATTGGAATCATTTTGTATGGCCGCACAGTATCAGTCTATGACTTTTCAGAAGAATCTGTTGCTTCTGCTGATGTGATTCCAGGTGGCACTTCACCTAGTCAGGAGACCTTGAAAGCATTGTTTTATGGAACAGGTATATACTTGTCTCCAACGCATGCTTCAAAAGAGGTGGCACACCTGTTATTCTCGTCATTGAGGCCATATAAGTTGAATGTTCCAGAAGCATCAAGAGATAGGTGCTTGGGTACTGCAGTTGAGGTTGCTCTGGCTATTATTCAAGGACCATCTGCAGATTTTCTCGAGGTTTGGTTAAAAGGCCAGGTTTTAACAGCAGAATCATTGTGTGTGCTGGTGGACCGAATACTTACGGCCCTGGATCTGTCCCTCATTCTTATAGTCACCCTAATTATCCTCATAAGGAAAAGAGTGCATTAAAATGGATGGAGCATCTTGGCCGTGAGGCTCATCAACAAAACACAGTGGTTGATATTCTCTGCGCTGGAACTTGCCCTGTAAGGGTTCCCGTGCTGCAGCCTCTTGCAAAAGCTTCAGGGGGTGCTTTTGTTCTTCACGATGATTTCAGTGAAGCCTTTGGTATTAACTTACAAAGGGCAGCTGCCAGGGCTTCTGGTTCTCATGGTTTGTTGGAGATACGCTGTTCTGATGACATTCTTATTACTCAGGTTGTGGGTCCTGGTGAAGAGGCTCATATTGATACACATGAAACCTTTAAGAATGATATTTCTCTCTGTATTCAAATGCTGAGTGTTGAAGAAACACAATGCTTCTCTATATCGATGGAGAATAAGCATGACATCAAGAGTGATTTCGTTTTTTTTCCAGTTTGCCATTCTATACTCAAATGTTTATCAAGCTGATATAACTAGAGTGATTACTATCAGATTGCCAACTATTGATAGTGTTCCAGAATATCTTCAAAGTGTTGAAGATGAGGTGGCTGCTGTCCTAATTGGCAAGAGGACTCTCTTGGGAGCAAAGAGTTATTCTGATGCACATGATATGCGCACAACAATAGATGAAAGAGTTAAAGACATTGCTCTAAAATTTAGCTCTCAAGTGCCAAAGTCGAAGCTTCATCGGTTCCCAAAGGAAATCTCTCTACTACCAGAGCTTCTATTCCATCTTAGGCGGGGCCCATTGTTGGGAAATATTGTTGGTCATGAGGATGAGAGATCTGTACTGCGGAATTTGTTTTTGAATGCATCCTTCGATCTTTCACTTCGCATGGTTGCCCCTCGCTGTCTGATGCATCGTGAAGGAGGCACTTTTGAAGAATTGCCAGCCTATGATCTTGTCATGCAGTCTGATACAGCAGTTGTTCTAGACCATGGTACAGATGTCTTCATTTGGTTGGTATGTAAATTAAACCGTCTTTTAGCTTTAGCTGGTATATCTGTTATGGTTGCTTCTATGTTCATCTTCACAGTGTAAATGAATAAGAGATCGAACAATTAATGTAGTTTGAAAGCTAGTTCCAAGCAAAGACCTTAGGGCATATCTTCCTACGCCACTCATGAACACGGTCATGCCTTGTTAATGTTCAGAATTGCATTTATTTCTATAATATCAAGCCATGGTTTAAAAATGATAATCCCCTGGTTTAGGGGTAACTTGAAAAAAAGCCTTCTTGTGTGAAGCTATTCGTGACTTGCTAAATGCTGAAAGTAGCTACTCTTAGTAAATTATATAGATGCATACCCTGTGACAATCTGGCCTTGGATGTCTGTATTTCCTTTTCGTTGTCCACTACATGTATGTGTTTGCATGGTATGTTATGAGATACCGGTGGATTACTTCGCTGGAATTGTATTTAGATTTTAGAAACTACATCTTTTTCCATTTACTTATTTTATGGGACAATATTGAACATCTTCCTCTCAACTGCTGGCTCAGGGTGCTGAAGTTGCAGCTGATGAAGCAAGAAGTGCTGCAGCTTTGGCAGCTTGTAGAACATTGGCTGAAGAGCTTACAGAGTTACGATTTCCAGCTCCTCGGATCCTTGCATTCAAGGTTTTTCTCTCCACTTCTATTAACTGTGCATTGTTGTGGGGTTTCCCCCCTCTTCATCATCATCATCGTCATCTTCTTCTTAACCATCAGAGAAAAAAAAAGAACCTAATGATCTGGTTTTGTTGCAGGAGGGGAGCTCTCGGGCCCGATATTTTGTTTCTCGGTTGATACCAGCGCACAAGGATCCTCCTTACGAGCAGGTAAGAGAAAGAAAAATGATAACGAGAAAGGCTTTTCGGTTTTAGTCGGAAAACAATTAAGTAGGGTGTGATACTTGTGCAGGAGGCAAGATTTCCACAGCTTCGAACCCTTGCGACAGAACAACGGATGAAACTGAAAAGCAGTTTTATTCATTTTGATGATCCCAGCTTCTGTGAATGGATTCGGAGTTTGAAAGTAGTGCCACCTGAACCAATCTAAGAGATGTTTATGTCAAAATTCCTCGAAGGGAGTCCCAGAGAGTTGCATCCAATCATATCATTTATTGGATATTTATACTCTAGTTTTTGTTGTTCTCCTCGTGAAGGGAATGTACATGTACATCTTTCTTGCATTTTTATTTATTATTTTTCTCTTTGACGAAGTTATCCCTCTCATTTATTCTTCAAATAAACAGCTATACTTGATAGTAACTACAAAGTTTAACATTATTGTCACATTTGGTAGAGAGTGAAAGGGATTAATTTTTAATTTGGCCCTTGAACTTCAATTGCATTCAATCACCATATAAATTTTACATTATCGTTTTATTAAGTTTTTATCATTAGTATGTTGAATATTGTTAGTTTGATGTAGCACCTTAATGAAATGGATTAATTTTTAATTCGACCTTTGAATTTTAGATAAAATACAATTTAACCTTGAATTTTAGATAGAATATCATACTAGAAAATGGGGATGGAGATGAATAAAAGGAAGAGGGACAGCTGCTGCTCCAAAAGGAGGAGAAAGGAGAAAGGAGAAAGAAGCATGAGAGAGAAAAATGGGGAAGGTCATATCTCTATATTCATATTAGAAAATGTGTTAGAAAACAACTGAACTACCGAGTAACGTAAACTCCTTCCTATAATTAATGAGCTAACAAATAACAGGCAATTCATTAAACTTGAAGCACTGCTCCTTGATTCAATTCATCACCGTCTAGAATTCCCTCCATTATTCGATTGATAGCACTTCCTCGAGCCTATAGTTTGAAACACAAATATTTCAGGACATAATCAAAAGTAAAACCACCCAAATCATAAATTCAATCTACAAATTCCAGACCCCCTAACCTTCACTCCGATGGAAATCGTTGTTTTTAGCTTCACAAGCTCACCCAATCTTAAGGACCCCTTTCTATCATCTCTAACAATGATCAATGGTACCTTTCTAGATTTGGCGATTGTCGTATGTGCTTCGTCAGCCACTTCGGATTTCAATCAACAACCAACAAAATAGCCTAAGACGCCAACAAAGATATAGCAAAACGTGAGCTAAGTACAACAAACATACAAGAAATAAACAAATTAACTAAATATCATGACATATCAGTTTAAACTTGAAAGGCAAACCTGCAACCTAACACAAGGAGACTGGGCAGTGCTTCCCTAGTCGTTAATGGCTGACATCCGTTCAAGAACACGAGTTACATCGTTAACACCAATTGCAAATTGTTGCTAATGCCCACAAATATTATAATCAGATAAATAATAAAATCACAAGTTTGATCAAAATAAAATCAATAAACGAGCAGGTGAGGAATCAAACCTTAATCCACACTTTTTCAGGCAAGGAGTTTCTGGCCGATACTCTCGCCGAGTCTATCTCTCTGTTGATTCAAGTACTTCAAATTATTAAGTTGTCGAGTTAGAAAGAGGAGGCGCATTCTTTTATTTATCGATAATTTGTTTGAATCGTTTACCTTCGGATTGATTTAAGCACATGAACAAGCCGTTCTCCTTCATAGCAACTCTCAGAATAAAAAAAGTAAAAAAAATGATCAAATAACTCAAAATATATAATAATCATAAAAAAAAAAAAGAACAGACATACACTTGGTGTTGAGGAACGGAGCCATCTTGAATGTTGCTTTTGGCTGCCTTGTTTCGTGGCAGCGTCGTTCTTTTTCGCAAAGTTGGCTCGCTACTTGTTCGATGAAATGTTGGAGAGAATTGTATTTAAAGAGAGTAAAAGAGATTTTATGGTGAATGAATACACGTTGGCCCATTTATATAGTTATCAAGTTAATAGGCCTAAGCCTATAAGGCAATGTTGAGCTCTGATTTTCATTCTCTCGGCCTAACTGGCCCAACTGATTTCATATTCTCCTCCTAGTAGTAGTTTATATGTTTCAAGGTTAGACCCTTTCTAATATAAAATTTTATGTTCACCTCTATTGACAATGTGTTGGGTTGAGTTAGATGTTTGATTAATCTAATATGACTCGACTCGATAGGTATACATCTTTATTTCGAACTTGATTTGATTTAAATTTAAAGAGTTTTTATTTATTTCAAAATTTGATCTAAATTTTTAGGTAAAAATTCACATATAATCTAACTCAACCTCACGTATAAAAAATATTTTTATTTTATTTTACAGAGATGAGTGTTATAACAATTATACTTGAATATATACAAGAAAATTATTCTTTAATCTAGGGTCAGATTGAAGATTTTTCATTTTAAATTAAAATAAAACCCGATCTAATCCAACATGAACTTAATTTTTCTATCAGATCAAACTGATAAAAATTCATTAAATTTGAATCAAATTATCATCTCTATTCTCCTTGCACAACTCTCTTAAAATTAAGAATATAATGTCAATATTTCGTGCATTCTGAACCAAACAATGATTGTTAATATACAACACTCAATAAATTAAGTCTCCAAATATCAGTTGTGGTCCTCACCTGCTCTAAAATAAATATTGTAATGGTTCGAACTCTGATGTTTACGAATGAAATAAATTAAATTTGGAGGGTCGTTCTCGTATCTGTAGTACCCGATCTAAATTACTAGATCAATAGATCATATACCAATGATTAATTAAAATATATATTGTAATATATAATTTGTTTTGTCTTGCGTGACTTCAAGGTGAATTTAAAACTATGATATGAACGTTTTCTTTTTTTAATTCAACTCGTAAAATTAAAAATATTGACCAACAGGCATGACAAATAATTTAATATTAAATATCCAATTGACACCAATTTTAACTTCAATTATTTTGTCGCCTAGGATAAGTATTTATGCTACATCATAAGCCATAACCCTTTTTAACTCAAGTATTATTAAGCTCGACTCAAAGAGTTTAAAATTGAATTCAATTCGATTCGAAAATTCTCGACCTTAAAATTATCAAGTTCAACTTGAATTTGAAATAAAAAATTAAAATTGGACTTGAGCTCGGAAATATTTGAACTCCAAATATTCTTATATTTAGTTCGATTGAAGCTCAAATTCGAACTTGGTTCTGTTTCGAATACAAACCGAAACATTAAATACATGAAATTTTTATATTACATTTTGAAAAAAAACATATAAATGTTAATATTAAAATAATTTCACCTAAAACAATAAAAAATTAATATAATATTATTTTAGTTACTCGTGTGTTTTTTGAGTCGGGTAACAAGTTGTTTGCTTTGGTATATCAAAAATTTGAGTCAAGTTCGAGCTCGAGTCGAGTCCATTCAAATAGAGTGGTAACCGAATTTTGACTCAATCAAACTCAAATAAATTACGATTTATCTCGTTTCATTTACATCCATAAGTATAATTAAACAATAAAGCGTGAATTGAGTCCATTAGTATAAGTAAACAAAGTGGTTTGGTGGAGAAAAAACAAAAAGATAGCCAGTTCCTCATCCTGCTGCAGTAATTTCACTATTTCAAATCTCCACTACAATCATCAAACGCCTGGCCGCAGGCATGTTCCTTCTTTTTTCCCAGGTTGAAACAGAGAGCTAAGAAATTTAATGATTACCAGAAAAAGCTTGCTGAAATCAATAATTGTTCTGTTTTCCACATGACAAGGACATATGTTATATAAATTGTCGATGCCATCACACTGAATTTACAAAATATACATATTGGAACTCAACTTGCTTTATAATATATGCTTTGATAATAAATTATGTAGCTTAGGCGAAGGGCAGAGCAAGGTGTTAAAAAACGTTGTTTTCAGTAATAACCCAAATTTCATTCCCTTCTTTTAAGGGTCAAAAAGTTGAGTTCCAAAGGCTGAGGCAGTGAGTTCACTGGCACCGAGTCCACTGGTTTAAACCGCTCAGCCGGCAGAGCACCGAGACTGGTTGGTTCCTCTTTGACTGGTCAAGCCCATTCCAGTCAATCCAGCTGTGACATTTGTCACCATTAAAGAAAATTCATTTGACAAATGAACTCGGGATTAGTTTGGTTCCAAGTTCCATGTTTCGCCAGTTACACATTAGAGGCTAATTTGGACAAAGCAAACGACACCATTGGTCTTCCCAAAATCAAAACTTTTGCTTGTTTGATGTTTGTGTATATATATCAAGCCACCGGTTGAGAAAAACAGAAAGTAAATAGCATTTTATAATTCGTGATGATTAAGGTGAGAGTTGGGTGTTTTTTATTTTTTTCTCTTTTTTTTTTCAATGAATTTTTAAGATCTTAACTGAAAGCGTGAGATCACATGAAATGAGATAGGAGAGAATATCCCAACTAATAAAACTCGCTTTCAAAATAGAAACCGGAAACAGAACCAGTCACCCTTCTGTTTGTTTGTTCATCTGAATATAAATATGTACACCATCCCATCCCATCATCCTTAATCATCAATTATGAGCCTGTCTTCAACTTCCTTAAAGATTTAACTTTGCTGGGTAATTCTTGGTTTTTCTTATCGTCCGTTGTGTACAGAGGGGAGTGAGCGAGCAGATGAAGACATAAGGGGACCCTAGTGCTTAAATTTATGGTGGGCAGCGACGGTCGCTTTCAATGATGTTTATGTGGGTGGTGGTGGTTATTTCAGTGACCCAATCTAATGACCCATACCCTGCCTCACTCGCACACTTGATTACTAGCTAGCTAGAGAAAAAGGGATCTTATTCTTTGATCAGAAGAAGAAAGCATCCCAAGCTTTCAGCATACGTGCTTGGGCGGAAAGGGAAAGTTGCAGATCTCATTCATAATTTGATATGAAAAGATCTTTCAATGTAAGTTTATTCGATCATTGCTTTTGCTTTTGACTTTTTGTTTTCATATTTCTAAGTTTTACTTCTTTCTCTTGGAATGGTTTAAATTTGTGCTTTTTTTTTTCTGCTACAACACAGTTTTTGAACAAGATCACTGTTAGGATCTATATGAGCAAATAGTTCTTCATTTTAGCTTCTGTGAGTGTGGGAGATTGGTAGTAATTGTGAGTCTCCTTCCATTATAGATTAGATCCTGCTCTCTTTGCATAACTTGTTTTGTCCATGGATCTGTGAGTTACTTATTCTCAGGCTTACTTTGATTCACATTGTTGTTAAGCTGGCTTTTAGTTTCTGTTATTTCAGCTCCGAGTTTGTTCAATGGTCATATACTTACCAAATTACTTGATTGATTTATTGTCAAATCATGGTCAGTCTGGAATATCTAAAGAAAAATGGGGAAAGGAAATAATTTAAACTTTGATCATTCATGTTAAAGTCTAAAACAATTTCTTTTCAGATGGTGAATGTACTCTTGGTAGTTACATTTTTTGGTCATATTACATGGGCTGTCAAGGGCAGCTCACATTGCAAACAAACAGAACCCTGGGAGATTCGTCCTCACAGTGTAGCTATTACCGAATTCGGGGCGGTTGGAGATGGTGTCACTCTCAATACAAAAGCCTTTCAGAATGCCATCTTCTACCTCAATTCCTTTGCTGACAAAGGTGGGGCCAAGCTTTTTGTCCCAGGTGGCCGGTGGTTGACAGGAAGCTTCGATCTCATCAGTCACCTGACATTGTGGTTAGAAAAGGATGCGGTAATTCTTGGATCAAAGGTAAATCTTTAGCGTACTTCAAAACAGCATTAACCCATATATGTTGAAAGAACATTGCAACTTAGTTACATGGTCTTTCCTGTGGTCCACTCTGGCCTAGAAATTTGGTAGTAATAGTATTCCGGATTTAACCTGTTGTTTCAGTGATATAAAATCATCTTTTATTGTTTCAGGATCCTGATGATTGGCCGATTGTTGATCCTCTCCCTTCCTACGGCCGAGGTAGGGAGTTACCTGGAGCAAGACATCGAAGCCTCATATATGGTTACAATTTGACCGATGTGATCATAACAGGTTAAGTAGCATCAGATGGAAAATCATCTTCCGTTAGCATTTTATTTTTATCCTTGATGCCAATGCTTTCCCATGCAGGTGACAACGGAACTATCGATGGCCAAGGCAGTGTTTGGTGGAACTGGTTTCAAAGTAAAACTCTGAACTATACTCGGCCCCATCTGGTTGAGTTGATGAATTCAAATGGGGTTGTAATCTCAAACTTGAATTTCTTGAATTCTCCATTTTGGACAATCCATCCTGTATACTGCAGGTTAGTGGTCCTCATTAATTAGTATTAGCATGCTCTTCAAATCTTGCAATGAAGTTGTGACTTTTATTTTCTCGATGCACAGCCACGTCACAATCCGGAATGTCACAATTCTGGCTCCTCTGGATTCACCGAACACAGATGGGATCGATCCAGGTGAATTCTTTATGCTAACCTGGAAATTCTGTTTGAATTATCAAAGTCCTGAACCATTCACAACACTCTACTAATATGATTGAATACATACAGATTCTTCTGATGATGTGTGCATTGAAGACTGTTATATTAGCACTGGGGATGATCTAATTGCCATCAAAAGTGGGTGGGATGAGTATGGCATTTCATATGCTCGCCCCAGCACAAATATTATCATCCACCGGCTCACTGGCCACAATCGAAACGGCTCTGGGATTGCAATTGGAAGTGAGATGTCCGGAGGTGTTTCTGAAGTTCATGCAGAAAACCTGTATTTTTTCAATACAAGCACGGCTATCATACTAAAGACTGCTCCTGGAAGGGGTGGTTATGTGAGAAATATCTATATATCAGATGTTACCTTGGCTGATGTAGACACAGCTATAAGGTTCAATAGTAATTTTTCCGAGCATCCTGATGATTTTTACGATCCAAATGCTCTCCCTGTAATAGAAAGGATCACAGTTAAAGATGTCAGAGGAGATAACATAAAAGTTGCAGGCCTCCTCAATGGCATAGAAGGGGACAGTTTTCGTCATCTTTGCTTATTGAGTATTACCCTCAATGTAACCTCGGAGTCTCCATGGAATTGCTCGTACATTCAAGGGTACTCTGCCTTGGTTTCCCCCGAAACTTGTGAACCTCTAAAGGAAAGCATCTACCCCAAGCATTATTCTGATTGTTACCATCTATCGAATCATTTGCATAGTTCAGGTAATCAAAACAGAAGGTCTTGGTTTGGATTCTTGCCATTTCTCAACACAACAGCCCGTCGTCATCTTCACGGGGAAACGATGACCGACATACGAAGTTGACTGGAGTAGCTTGTGGTTGTCCATTTGTTAGAAAGATTGTTTCTTGTAAGTTTGTTTGCAGTAACAAATAATTGAGTGATTTGTTAGAAAAATGAAGCTTATGGCTTCTTTCAAAGGCATTTTTCCCACTCTTTCTTTGGCTTGTTATAAATTGTGGCAAGAACAAGTTGTTCAAAAAGCTCAATGAAAAGAGAATCACATAAATATTTACATATAATTTGTCGCCATTTGAGTTGATTTACCGTGACTGTGGCGTAGCTGAACCAGTTTCCTGGAAACTTGCATCTTTGTATGAAAGGAAAGACACTTTCCTTGCTCTAAAATGGTATGTGGAGAAAGTTCCGATGTGAGAATACTATGAAAACGACATGCTAGACCCATGTTGTGTTTATGAAAACTGTAGCTGTATTTAGTTAATCTGAAGATAATTGAACTGAAAAGTACATTAAAGATTTGAAAAAGACGAAGATAAAATCGAAGGAAACTGAGATGTTTAATCAAGAATGCACACAAACAGTCCAATGAATCTTTTTTTCTCAAAGGCTGAGAACCTTGAAATTGAAGGGATTTCTTTTTTATCTGGGAGATGCCTCACTGCCATCTTTCTTTATAACAGAACATAAAACCTGCCTTGAAATGTATGTTTCGAGCTCCCTGGAAACCTCAGTTAATTTCAGATCGAAGTTGCTCCTATACTTCTGTTTTGGTGATGGCATAACACTAGAGAACATTGTGGGAGATCCCGAAAACCGACGCCTTGGACTAGTAAGCCCTACTGGTGAACCTGGTAGTTTGGCTTTGGAGATGAGAGGCTTTGTTCCTGAATTGGCCATGTTTCTTTCAAGGTTCAGGAGTGGACCACGTTTTGTCTCCAGTGGTAACGGCTTCAATGGATCGAGTTCCACCTCCGGCTTCTGCATCCGAAGCCTTTCTCTAGCCTTCTCTGCTGCTAGAACAGCTTTATCCCTACTAAGACTTATCAGTTTCCACGGGTCAATGCTTACATGGAACCCTTGTTTCTTGCTCGTTAAGGTGGAAGGTTCAGGTTCTCCATCAATTCTTATGGATAATCTCGATGAATTCTGAAATCGAACAGACCAGTTTGATGGATGGACCTGCTTAAATTCTTTTAGAAAAATTCCTAGATGAAAAATGTCTTGTTTTAATGTACCTGAGTTCCCTGTCCTCTGCATATAAACCTTGATATAAAAGAAGGTTTTTCAGGTGAATCAAAATCCGAACTATCATCCGACAAAACATCCGATTCCTCAAACGGATCTAGTGTAAATTGGTTCTCCTCCTCTTTCATTGCCATTATATAATCATATGTTCTCATTCCCTGTAAAAACAGTAAAAAGAATTTGCACGTGACGTTCTCAGAATTGTTATGATTACGAATGGTTACCAGACGAAAACGACACAATATCGAATGAACATGACTCGTAAACTGACCGATGGAGAAAGCCTTTGTTTCATGTACATAATGAAGTTACAGTGGAGATGTTGGAAGAATGCAGCGACAGATAAGAAGGAAGCAATAATTTACTTACCTTTCTTATAAGCACAACATGAAAGAAGAAAAGCTGTCCCATTGCTGCTGAACCATAAGCAGTAAACAAGGCCAGCAATATCTGCAACAATTTCCAAGAGTTCAAAGCAAATTCATACAAGAAGTTGAGATATTGATTTTCAGAGTAGGCAAGAGATGCCAATATTTACTGTTATTGTGGCGAGAACCTCTCTTGGGAACTCTATACACAGCCTCTTCTTCAGCTCCTGCTCCATTCCCTTCTTATCTGCAAAGCACCTGACAAATATGGCAATGGCAATTCCTCCTTCTAGGATTAGCTGTAACAGTATTTGATTTGATAGTCAGGAAAATAGAATTAAACTTAAGACTTTCAAACCTTTTGAAGGAAAATTAGTGGCATTGTCAAACTTACCATAAACAAGACAAATATCATTAGAAGAATGAATGTTGTATAGTTTCTTTTCCCTACACAGTTGTTCAACCACTGACAGATGATAAAACAAGCAAATCTATATCAACAAACACATAGATAGCTTTCTCAAATACATGCAAACTGGAAAAAGGAACATAATTCGAAAGCGAAGATCGGGTCCTTACCCTGCAATGATGATCAAAGCCTTCGGCACACCGATTGCAAGTCCTACAATGCTTGCTATGCTTTTTCACCTACGATAAACCACAGGAAGATGTAAAAGACAAAAATAAAAGGAAAGAACCGATGAAATTGTGGGGGAAAACAACGGAATTGTTCGCATCACAAAAGGCAAACCTCCAAATCACAGAGAGAGCAATAGGAGATGTCATCCTCTCTAAGGTCAGGAGAAATCGCATCATCCTTAGTGACAAGGAGAAATGGTAGCAGTGGTTCCATTTGGACATTGGTTTTAAGAGGATCCAGATACTTCCTTCTTATAAAAGTCCTTAGAATCTTCTTCTCCAGCCTCCTAAAAGACCTTACAACAATCTGGGTCAATATGAACCCATAATCGAGCTTCAAAACCCCTTTAGGTTTGCCTCTTTTCTTCTTCCTAGAGCTGGTTTTATCACTAGGATCAATAGAAGTACACCTAATAAACATGAACATGACTGAGAGTGCCTGAAATTTTTCAAAAAAGAAAAAAAAAAAAAGCAAGTCAACAGATCACTCCCATTGAGTTTTGGGATATTGGAAGTATAAGTTCAAAAACAAAAAGATTGAGAAGATTACCACGAAGGAAAAGAGAGTTGTGACTGTGATCTCAGCGGTTCTGTTTCCAAGAAGAAGGCCTAAAAATGTATAAAAGACCACAACTAGAAAACTGTATATCGCCATTCCCACCATCTGCAAAAATCCCAGCATTTAGATTCAATTCAAAGCTTCATCCCAACGATTTCATCAAAAACAAAAAGGTTTTATAAGCGTTGACAATTCACCTGTAAAGGATGGAAAGGCCGCTGCCAACCATGGCGTCTCATGATCCTCATAGCCATAAAACTTCAGCGTTCTCGAACCCAAGAAAACAACAGATTTTTTTGTGGATGTTGAATAAAATAAAAATAAATTAAATGATTTAGCAACCCAAATCCATGGATAGGAACTGGAAGTTCAAAGCGGAAACTTCTTCTTTGTTAGATATTCTGTGTTTTTAATGTCTCTCTCGAAGTTCACGCTTAGCCTGAGAGAGAAAAAATGTTTGGCTCTTACCTCCCAACGGTCGACTTCTGATAAGGAGATTTGAAATTCTTTTTCTTCTTTTTCTTTTTTGTTTTGAAATTAAGGCGGTTTGAAATTTGAACGGCGATCGTAGATGTAGATCAAGTCCTAGTTCATCTGACGGCTGTGAGTTCATCTTCATCGTTTCCTTTTTCCATGTTTGAGGGGGCTCGGAAGACACAGATCGTGTGTGGGGACCATTACGATCATTCCATTGGCCAGCCCAGCAGCCGTAATTATTATATTCTCTATCATACTTAACTGCGAGTTGAAGCTCTGGGAAGCCGCCAAAGTTTTAGCCCATTAAATACAAGCCGAAGCTACAAAACTCGAAATAAATTCATTAGCTGAAATTTTCATATGAAACTAAAGTATTTAATTGGATGACATTATTTCAACGAATATATTGATTAATATATTAGATATCAGGGCCGGTCCTATACATGTGCGACGACTCAGGGCAGCATGTAGGAGCATCAGCATGTAGGGGCATCATTTTTTATAAGACAAAGATGGACAGCATGTACGTACTACTGCAAGCTGATTTGGACAAAGAAAAGAAAGGTGATGCTTTAATTAGCCACTTTATGGCTTTACTAGGCTGATCATACCCCAATCTTTTTAGTGGCCACTTGTTTTAACTTCCCTGTTCCTTCCATATTAGACTTATTAGTGCTCTCTCTCTCTCTTTCTCTGCACTACTTAAATTTTTGTTTGGATTTTCTTGTTTTCTCCCTTTGTAATCTGTCCAAATTTTCAATCTTTTTCAAAATCCTATTACGTCTTCCCTTGAATATCTTCTATTCTCTTCACATTTCCTTCCCTTTTTATCATTCTTCCTTTTTCTATTTTGTACAATTTCTTTCAAATCATCTATGTTTTGTGTTTTTTGTTCTCTGAAATTCCCTCAAAAAGCTAAAGAAGGTTCTAAACACAAATGAAGGTATGGTTTCTATTATGGGATCTTCTTTCTGTTTATGACTAAATTATCTATTTTCATGTTCTGGGTTTTGATTCTTTTGTACATACTTGTGATTTCTGTTATTCTGTATGTGTGTGTAGCTTTCTGTTTTTGAAGGGATCGTTGTTGATGAGTTGTTCTTAAATTCGATTATGATTCCTTACAAATTAATTATAAAAAAAAGCATGGATGATTCTGAAAAAGATATCTCGTGTTTTATTGTAGAAGGTTGTGTTGAAGTTGGATTTGCATGATGGCAAAGTCAAGCAAAAGGCTTTAAAGACGATCTCAACTCTTTCAGGTACATAAGCTTTAAATTCAAGAACTTCCACAATCTGTTTAAAGCACATTTGTCTTTACAAGAATTGCATACGAAAAAGTTTCTAAACCTTTTACCCTTGTTCTAATAGTGGTCTTTGTTAAAGGTTTTCAAAATTTGGTGACCAGAATCTGTTATTTTCCCTAAAGCAATATATTTACCAGCAAAGATCCTTAGCATAAAAACTAATTGATGTGACACTGCATAAAGAAAATTACCATTAAAGTGTTTACTTGATGACTCTCCAAATGTTTTTTTATGTTAACCACAGAAAATGATAGGCATGCTTAAAAGTATTATTGTGTCGGACAAACGAGGGAAGTGCTTTTGTATTTAACTCTAGACGTGAGTTCAAGTTGAATTCACAGTAAAATGATTGGCTTTTGCGGAGAAAGAACAAAACTTGTCATATCATATAATTCCTTCCTATGATTTGTCTATTATACGGTACAAGTATAGGGACATGAAATTATTATCTTGCCCAGGGCATTAAAACTCATTGGACCGACCCTGTTAGATATTAATTGTTAAACAAAAAATACAAACTCGAGCTAATGCATGCATGTAGTGTCACTCTATCTCTTCATATAAACTTCATTTAATTATGCACAAAGGAAAGTCGTCGACATCATAAGAAATTGCAACAGTATCAAATTGCACGTCAGATCATAATGGTTGTAACATCCTAAAAAGATGATTAGTGATCAAAATACAAATTTTGAAAGTTTGATGGTTAAAGTAGAAAATTGGGAAAAGTTTAAAGATCTAAGTGGTATTTTTCCCAATAAGATATTTATTCCATAAATGGATTTATTTAGTGACCAAATTATAAAATTTTGAAAGCTTGGTGACCAAAATATAAATTTTGGAAAAGTTTAGGGAGCAAAATGGTAATTTTAAAAAGTTACATTTGGTTTCGAAAATAAGGAAATAAATATATTTTTTCACAATTTTAAATATTGAAAAATAATATTTAAGGATTTAATTCCATGTTTAATTTGGATTGTTGGATTAAAGTGACAGAATTGTAAGTTTTGGAAATTGCAACGGCAAAATGGTAAAGTGGGAAAAATATTTTTTTCATCTTTGACTTTGAAAGATGATAAGGTTGATGTAGCTTGGTATTAATGTAAATATCAAGTTCATTAAAGGTAAATTAGTATAGATATTTTGATTTCAAGGGTAAAGTGGTAATTTGACATTTAATGAATTTTTTATTCAATATTTAATTAAGAAAGATGAAGAAATATCATATGAATTTCTTCATCTTCTCCAACAACAAACGTGAGCTCTCCCAAAGGTAAGAAAACATTTTGTTTTCAATTTTTGAATCAATTTCTTTGGAATTCGAGTTATGTCGTGAAACAGGAAAGTGATCTACGCGAAAACGCTATCATTTGGTACCAATATTTCTTTCAAATCTTGTTAGATTTCAAAGATCCCAAATCTAAGGGTTTATGTTCAAGATAAGATTCATGAAATTGATGATAAATTTTGATTATTTAGAGGTTATATATTCATTTTCAAGCTTGAGTTATGGTTAGAACATGTTCAATCTTTTTAGAAATTATTCTTTGAAAATTCGAACATGATGTATTTGAGTGAAAAAAATTATGGAAAATTATATAAGGTTTGGAAATGATGGAGGAAGTATTCTACAAGCTTTATAAAATTCAAGGACTATTCAATAATTTTTGAAAAGTTGGGAGACCAATTCAGACATTTTGGAAAAGTTGTGAATGATTGTATAATTATTTAATAGTTGATGTACCATGCTGGAAATTGCTGTTTTGGAATTGAAATGAGCATTTAGATGTGAAATATGATCATTTTGGAAGTTTGAAAAGATGGGTGATTTAAGTGCAAACATTCACATAGTTGGGAGTGTACCGATACACTAAGGAAATGTATCAGTACCCCCTTAAAAGGAAAATTTTTGAATTTAATTTATGTACCGATACATAGGTAGTGTATCGATGCACACGTTAAGGGATGTACCGATACCCTATAGTGAGTACCGATACACTGCAAAGGGAAATGAAAATAGCTATTTCTTTTAGTCTAAGAAATGAAGGATCAAATCATAATATTTGGAATACTGATATAAATATTATATGTATGATTGTGTAGATATTGAGCACAAGCAAGCTCTGAAACGACTGCAAAGTTAGGATCAATCCAAAGAAATAAATCATAGAAGTGGATTTGGATAATAAAGTGTCAAGGTAAGTGCAATTTAATTTGTACTTATGTTATTAAACAAACATTAGCTTGCGATGAGCCAGTGACGGAGTTACTATGGTAAGAAGTGACTCCTAAAATATTGTTTGATTTGTGATTGATGGAATTCTTATGTGTGCATGAATACATGAAAATGGGTCTATGTTTCATATGTTATTATATGTGACATAATTTACATGATTACATGTATATGCGATATGTGGTATTGACATAAGTGACTATAGGATCACAAACTATGTAAAATAGCAAGGACTTATGTGATAACAAGAGAAAGTGATATAAACTAGGTGGTATAGATATAAATGATAAGTTAAACGACATGGACATATGTGATCATATGAGAAAGAATATAAGCTTTGTGATTATGAACATGTGGATATAGGTCTAGTTGAAGATATAATAACAAGATATAAATTACATGAGTTAGATATATAGGAACTGGTATAACCAACTTATGAGATTAAATGAAAAGTGGTATAAGTTAAATAACATTGACCTATAGGACAATATGAGAATAATATATAAATTAGGAGACATTGACAGAAGTGATTATACAAACATGTAAGATAAGCTATATGGGGAAGAGTTATGGGCTTAAATGAACATATAATATATGCGTCATATGGTAAAAATCTATGAAGCTATAGGAAAATGTTATGGGAGCTATGTGATGATAAGTTATGAGAATATATATAGGTAACAATCTATGTGAAATTGAATGAAGTAAATATATGAAACTAGAATATAAATAATGTGAGATAAGTGATTATGTAAAACTGTGAGATAAGTTATAGGGCATTGATATACGAACTATATGAAAGTATGTACATGGATATATGCATAAGTTTATATGTTATTCTATGTGTTATATGATGTATATATGAACATATGTGAACAAGATATGACATGCGTGTTTACATGAACACATGAGAAATGATATAAGTTATACGATATGATTTATGTGATTACATGCACATGTGATATATGTTACATGATATGAACCTATGTGATATGGGTTATATGACAAGAATGATATAAAAGTTATATGAGAATGAGTTATACAATTACATGTGTATATGATACAAGTGATGTGAACTGTTATAAATGATAATGCCCATGTTATGTGATATGAGAGCTAGGGATATAGTTGGCATGCCAAGAGTCGAGGGTTCTACGTGGTCCTTCGGGACATATATGTAATCCTTTTGAACATATATGTGGTACATTGGTACACTTATTTGGTCCATTAGAATATGTATATGGTTTTTAAGGAGTGGTCCTTCGGGACATATGTGTTATATGTAGTCCTTCGGGACATTTCTACGCGATCCTCTAGGATAAATTCTACGTGCCCCTAGTGGGAATTTATACGAGCTGTGGTGACATCATATGTGCACAACCTTATTGTACTCGCATACCTTAAGTTCTCAGTAATGTACATGGGCATATAAAAGATATCAAAAGTGTTTGCATTATTATATGATATCGTGTTATTATTGTTTACACTGAATCACATGTGTATATGGACTAATAAAGAGAAAATAATAAATACACCGTATGTGATGTATATGTTTTGTTATATGAAATATGTTACAAGATTTATATGTGATACTATGTGTATTATTGAGTGAAATGTATTACATGATAATGATGTTGATGTTGATAATGAGAGTGTATGTGTATGTATGCATTCTGTTATACGAAATGTTCTATAGTTCTATAATATGTTTTATATGTCTCACTAAGTCAACGAATTAGCGTGTGATTGTTTCACATGTAGGTTCCGAGAAGAGGAAGATTGATAAAAGTTAAACAAAACAGGTCAGTTTCTCATTTCCAAAGATCAGATCAGAAAAGAACTGAATAGTATGTATTTTGTAATACTGATTGTGGTTGACATGTAAATAAAGATTTGAATCTGATATGCTCTAATCGGTTTTATAAAATCATATGATTGTATTTTATGTAATCATTCAGTTGTATTTAGTAAATGTTTTAAAATTATTCACTATTTTGTACAAGTAAATGTTTTGAAATGTCAATGTGGCACATCGGATTCGTATCCGGGTCGGGTACAAGTTGAGAGTGTTACAATGACATTTTAAATGGCGCCTGGGACTACCTATTAATATGATTGTAAAAGAGATGGACGCTTCTCTCGGATTGGCTATTTAAGCTTTTTCAAAAAAGGTGAAGATATACCATGAGCTATTTAGTGGAGAAAGTGATGCAAGACTGTGGGAGCTGTGGTGATCCAGGAAGATAATGAACCCCATTGGAGGAACTGTTATTCCAACCATTGTTACTTGGTGGTGCTCCTATAACTGTCGAAACAGCCGCAGCTAAGGCTGCGGTGATATTTGGATCAGAAGCAATGGTTGCGGTAGTAGTTTCAAAGTCAACCATACCATAGAAGTAGGTCGTTGTCATGACTGCATTGTCGATAATGCAGATAGCTTGTGGGAAGCAAACATAGGGTGCCCTAAAATACCAAGGTGGTGTATATTAATCACGACCACTCGTGCCCCGGCTCCTCAGCTTGGACATACGATCAGCTACCATTATTTTTTTCAACAGCTCGACAAGCTACCGATTGAAACTCTTTAACACGCTTCCATTAACTACAAATTGAAATATTGTACTGCTGTGCTTAATAAAAAAAAAATCATAATAGTGAAAAGATTTACTACTGATGATCATCACCCAATCATGTTACGAAGATGAAATGTTTTAGTATTATGTTCCAATTCTAACTGCATGATGGATGCCTCCCACAATTCTAATAAAAAAAATTCCTAAAGCAATCAAGGAACTAACAACAAAACCCTACCCAACTTTTTAGCTGAAGAGATACTACCCAACAATAGATTTCTTCATTTGCAGTCTGACAACTTAAATCGCGATACTAATTGTATGCATAATTTGACAGGAATTCCTTCACTTCGACTGCAGCCTCGTAAGCTCCTTCCACGCATCGTCCTAATGCCACACCAGATACATAGTTGCCCCCAAGAAACAGACCATGGAATCCAGAATCCCTGAGAGCAGTTTTTGCAGTATCAAGGAGATCCAAATGACCAACTAAGAACTGGGGAATAGCTTTTGGCCATACTCTCACACCCACAACAAAAGGATCCTTTGCATTGGGATCTATTAGCATTTTTCTCAAATCGCGATCAACTGCTTCTACAAGTTCCCCTTCAGTCTAAAGAAGAAAAAGCAGAGGATCAATCAGAATTCAAAAATATAGCCATATTAAGGGGAAAAGAACAAACTTCAAAGAATATGTTTATAGTCACTAGAATTAGAAAAATGCGCAATATACACATCAAAACAAAAGGAAGAGTAGCTCTTCAACAGAATCATGCAAATTTTTACAACAGTCCTAAAACAAGCCAATTCATTTCAGCAATGAATTCCAAATCATGGAAAGCATTATTTTAGGTTCACCATTCATGAGACAAATAATGGCTGTGATAAAAGTTGTAACTTTCAATGATCTTGAACATCTTATATGAAAAACTTGCTGGCAGACTAGTTAGTCCATGATCATACAGGTTCCTTATATCCTCTAGAGAGACTACAACTACAAAATGTTTTTCTGCATATAGAGCATGAGACCATCTACATCTACCATAATGTGTCCTTATCCACAACTGCATTTTCCTTAAAAAATATAACAAATTCTATATAAACAATGTCTACCTTGGACAAAATTCCAGGGTTGGTAGCTCCTCCAATGTAGTTCAAAAGCAATACCCTGCCAGGTGGAGCTCGGTTGGGGAAAAGTGATGAACTGTATATAGTCCCTGCCAGTTTTTTGTAAATCAATCAAATTTCTCAAAGCAAACTTTTACTGCAAACAACATTCAACATAATACTAGGCTACATTTCTTTCAGGAATTATGGTGTTACCTAAAGTTTCAATTCCTTGGCTGCGAGGGTGCAACTGGCCAAACCCCTTAAGTTCACCATCGATCAAGCGATCTTTTCGAATAGATTCTTTTGGATATGAGATTGTGACTGACGCCACTGGAGGGTAATAAAATTGTGATAGTGCATCTGCAGCTGCAGCCTACCAAGAGAATGAAAAATGGATAAAAGAGTGAAGTAACGGTAAATTTCTAAATTAAATTAGAAAAGAACTAGAACATTGCCTCAATTACTCTTTTAGGCAATCATTTCCTTCAGACATTTTCCCCTTGTTGGTAGAAGTATTTTAAAGGCATGAATACACATTTATTGGTATACCCGGAAAATTGTAGAAATCCACCAACAAAAAGAGCAAACACTGAATATTTCTAAAGAAACTAGACTCACATAAATCTGAATATCTAAAACAATTTAGAGTGCTGGCAGACCACATAAAAGATGCATCATTCAGCAGTCCAAACGAGGCAAAGATGCACTCTATCAAATTTGGGAGAAGTATATACTTCACTCAGAATTCAAAATTTAAATCGCACACATATATCTAAATGCAAGCATATATACATGTAGGAATTATAGAAATGAGTTGTCAATCCCTTAAGTCAAGAGATTCTGTAATTATTTTCTGTTTTTCAATCCCTTATTTCAAGGGATTACATCTCCTAGGATTAGTTTCCTTTCTTAGAGTTTCCTAGTTTAGAGGCATAATTTGTATATAAATATGTAATATGTTCTACTGAATGTACACAAGAATAAAAATAACAGACTTGTCTATTTTCTACAGTCTGTTTTCTACACAGTCTGTTTTCTACATGGTATCAGGTTAGAGCGATCAATCCGATTTCCGCTTCTCTTTAAATCAATTCCTATTCAACTCTATTTTTTTTCATGGCTAATCCGGATCCCTCAGCATCCGAAATCACTTCCCAGACCAGCCCCTCTCAATCTGATTTTCAGATTTCAGATTTCAAATTTCAAATTTTCAAAGCAACAGAGGAAAAATCGCCTTTGGTGTGAACATTGTAAGAAGCCAGGCCATATGATAGATCAATGTTGGAAGCTGCATGGAAAACCAGCCGATTGGCAACCCATACGGTCCAGGTTTCAAACAGAGCCTCATATTGCCTCTCAAGATGATTCCTCAAGCAGTTTTAGCAAGAAACATATAGAGGAACTGCAGCAGATTTTGAGCAGTATGACAGCCAAGCCTACAAATGTGACTTATACTACTACTGATGGAAATAATCCATATGCTTCATCGGTACAATGGATAATAGACTCGGGTGCATCAGATCATATGACAGGAAATATTGATCTCTTGGAGGAATATAGTGAAAGCAGCTTACTAGCTTCTATCAAAATAGCAGATGGCTCTCTCACTACAGTCAAAGGGAGTGGTTCTGTTACATTAAACAAAAATCTACTACTTCATAATGTCCTCTATGTTCCTAGACTTGCATGCAATCTGTTGTCAGTCAGCAAATTAATTAAAGATTTTGGTTGTAATGTTGTGTTTGGTATTGGTGGTTGCATTTTTCAGGCACAGGGCTCGAAGAGGGTGATTGGCACTGCTAGGCTGGGCAAAGGATTGGACACCCTTGGAGGTAAAGCATCTCATAATCATGCCTTATCCAGTGCTCTTAGGAAACCAATTTTATCTTCTGATCTCAATACCAATAAAATTATGTTATGGCACTCTAGATTAGGTCATCCTAATTTTTTCTATCTTTCCAAAATGTTGTCGAACTTATTCATTAATAAAGATCCATCTTTGTTTTCCTGTGAAATTTGTCAAATGGCCAAACACACCAGAAAACCATATATTCCAGCCAAATTTGAACCAAAAACACCTTTTTCCATCATCTATAATGATATTTGGGGCCTTTCTCCTGTCAAAAGTATTTCTGGGTATAAGTGGTTTGTGTCTTTTATAGATGATTACTCTAGGACAACATGGGTTTTCTTAATGAGAGAAAAATCTGAGGTTGAGTCTCTCACTAAAAGTTTTTATCAAAAAGTTGAAACCCAATTTAACACAAAAATCAAAACTCTAAGGAGTGACAATGGGAGTGAGTATTTGAATAAAACCCTTGGGTATTTCTTTAAGGAAAAAGGCATTGTTCACCTTACTTCTTGTGTCAACACACCTCAACAAAACGGGGTAGCAGAAAGGAAAAATAGACATCTTCTAGAGGTTACTAGGTCTCTTATGTTTGCTGCTAATGCTCCTAAGTATCTTTGGGGGGAAGCTCTTCTTACAACCACTTACCTCATCAATAGAATGCCAAGTAAGACCTTAGATTTCAAAATTCCTACTAAGGTTTTGTTTCAGCTGTATCCCCATTTTAAACATTTAAACTCAAGTCTTTCTCCTCGGGTGTTTGGGTGTACAGCCTTTGTTCATATCCACAATAGAGGGAAATTAGATACTAGGTCCATAAAGTGTGTGTTCTTGGGCTATTTTTCTAGGAGAAGGGTTACAAGTGTTACTCACCTTCCACAAAAAAAACCTATGTCTCCTTTGATGTTACATTTTTTGAAAACCAACCTTATTTTTCAGGAACAGAAATTCAGGGGGAGAGTTACAAGGAATTTCAACCTGTTCAAACCGATATTTCTTTACAGCCTATCCTTTCCTTACCTATTACTGTCTCTCCAAAGCCGGCTAGCACTGTCTCAGTTCCGAGGGAGGGTGATGGGAATAACCTAAATAACTCTGATGAATTACCTTCCTCCTTATCTCAGCACTCTAGTCCGTGCAAAACACCTTCCACCACTACAAAAAATGCACCTAACAATGACCCTGAAACCATAACTCCCCAACCGAAACAACTCAGTGTTTACTCAAGAAGAAGGAAAGATGTTGCTGAAGAAATCAGTCAACCTAGCATTTGCCAAGAACCATATTCGGATCCTGTTGCAGCTGAAACAGAAGGTAATGACGGTTACCAAGAGGCTACTACTGTTGATCTTGATGACTTTCCTATTGCTATTAGGAAGGGGGTAAGAAAATGCACTGCTCATCCCATAAATAAGTATGTTGCATATGGGAAATTACAGTCTAATTTCAGGGCCTTCACTTCCAGCATTAACACTGTGAAAATCCCAAGAAATGTGACAGAAGCATTTCAATCTCCTGAGTGGAAAAAGGTTGTGGAAGAAGAGATAAAAGCGTTGCAAAAGAATAAGACATGGAGTTTGACAGATTTGCCAAAAGGGAAGAGAGCTGTTGGATGCAGGTGGATATTCACAGTCAAATATCATTCGGATGGGAGTGTGGAAAGATACATGGCAAGGCTGGTTGCTAAAGGTTTTTCTCAGTCTTATAGCATTGACTACCAGGAGACTTTTGCACCGGTTGCAAAATTGAATACCATCATAATATTGTTATCAGTAGCTGTTAACATGGACTGGAAATTGCATCAGCTGGACATAAAGAATGTTTTTCTGAATGGGAACCTTGAAGAAGAGGTATACATGGAGGTCCCCCCGGATTAGAAGGAAAGGTCACTAAGAAAACTATGTGCAAGCTCAATAAATCCTTATATGGCATAAAACAGTCTCCCAGGGCTTGGTTTGATCGATTAGCTAAGGCTATGACACAGAATGGTTTCAAACAAAGCCAAGCGAATCACACATTATTCAGAAAAATTACACCGAGTGGTAAGATAACCCTCCTAATTGTCTATGTAGATGATATGATTATAACTGGCAGTGATATAGAAGAAATAGAAAAGCTAAAGATGAATCTTGCAAAGGAGTTTGAAACCAAGGATTTAGGGAGTATGAGGTATTTCTTGGGTATGGAAATTGCAAGGTCCGAGGACGGGCTGGTCATAAACCAGCGTAAGTATATTTTGGATCTTCTTGCAGAAACTGGGATGCTCGGCTGCAAACCAGTTGAAACTCCAATGGAGCCAGGCTTGAAATTTTGCAACGAAAGGACTGGAAATCCAATAAACAAGGAAACCTACCAAAGGTTAGTTGGGAAGTTAATCTACCTTTCACTGACCAGGCCTGATATTGCATACACAGTGAGCATTGTCAGCCAACATATGAGTTATCCTCGAGAAGAACATTTGGAAGCTGTTAACAGAATTTTAAGGTTCTTGAAATTTACCCCAGGAGATGACTTATATTTAGAAAAAATCAAGACAGAACAGTGAAGGTTTATACGGATGCAAGCTGGAGAGGTGAATTAACTGATAGAAGGTTAGTTAGTGGCTATTGTACCTACGTTTGGGGTAATTTGGTGACTTGGAGAAGTAAGAAACAAGTTGTTGTCTCTCGAAGTAGTGCTGAGTCAGAGTTTAGAGCAATGGCTCTCGGAATATGTGAAGGAATGTGGATTAAAAGACTGCTCACAGAACTGGACTTAGATGACAAGAAGAATTTTGTGACAGTCAATCAGCTATGAGTATAGCAAAAAACCCAGTGCAACATGATAGAACGAAACACATTGAGATAGACAGACATTTTATTTACGAGAAGGTCAACGATGGAGTTGCAAAACTGCAGTACATTCTGACGAAGAAACAGCTGGTAGATATCTTCACCAAAGCCCTTCCACGAGTGACTTTTGATGAGATGTCATTCAAACTGTGTATATACAACATATATACACCAGTTTGAGGGGGAGTGTAGGAATTATAGAAATGAGTTGTCAATCCCTTAAGTTAAGAGATTCTGTAATTATTTTCTGTTTTTCAATCCCTTATTTCAAGGGATTACATCTCCTATGATTAGTTTCCTTTTTTAGAGTTTCCTAGTTTAGAGGCATAATTTGTATATAAATATGTAATATGTTCTACTGAATGTACACAAGAATAAAAATAACAGACTTGTCTGTTTTCCACAGTCTGTTTTCTACAATACATAGACATACAAACCTGCTTTTTGATAATTTAGCATCTTAGACAGAGCAACATATAGAGTGAACATTCTATGCTAGATATTAACCACATTCATAAATGGATGTATAGCAAGAACAGGAAGATATTGAACTATACCGAGAGAGGATGCAACAAGTTACTGGCAACATGAGACGGAACGGTCATGACAACACTTCTACTCTGAAGAGAGACCACTCCTTCTGGTGTTTCATACGTCAAGCTATACCCTCCATTTCCCAATTTGGTAATACCGGAGAGCTTCCACGATAATTTTACATTGCTACCCAAACTGCCAAGTCAAGACAACTAATTAGGATCTTGACTCCTGAAACGTAAAGACAGACATAGAAGCACGTTGACATTTTAGAACCACTACATAGGCTAAATCATAACTAGAATGGTGTCAGTGCAACCTAGTAGCAATTGCCTCAGGCAGCATGGCAAGTCCCTTCCTAAAAGATCCAACTGTTTGGCCCTTGGGCTTTGGTAGACGCCTGTAAGATAACCATTCAGCGCGATGAAAATAAACATCATGAAATAATCACAAAAGAAGCCTCAGTATGCTCATAATTACGGGTCTCTTGGTAGCTTAGGTGTTTTATTTCTCTCCTGGATTGTCTTGAAAGTGCCACCGATGATGCTACCACCAATCTCTTCAAGCTTCCATACCCGTCCAAAAGCTGCTTTCATGCTTAACTTTGATGGATCCCCAGCATAAACACCTGCAGCAATAACAATTTTTCTGGTATAACATTTGTGAATTGATTAAAAGAGAAAAAATAATTTAAATATCAGTTCAAAGGTTCGAGAACCTCTGAATTGAAAAATGCTAAATTTAAAGGAAGTGGTTCATTGCAAAATGATACAAATGAACCAAAAATAAAAGACAATGATTATCGGAACCTGAACAAAAGGGTTCAATCAAGCGTTCAAAAACCTCAGCACCAAGATTACGACGCACAAACTCCTCCACTGATTCTTCATGACCCTGTTACCTTTGCCAAAAGTCTTACCATATGAGAAACTTCAACATATAAAAGCAGTATGCAAATACAAGAATGCCACACACTTCTGTTGTATAACCAAACAAATGAAAAATATTCTAAGAAAGTGAAGAGAACAAACTGGAGGTGGAGGACGAATGCCGATAGCACCAAATCCAGCTCTAAATTTTCCACCAATACTCATCAAATCAAAAAACGGTAAGTCAGTTGGCTTGGCGGGTACAGGCCTTAGTTTCCCATCCCATAGTACGAATCGCGGCGCATCAGGGTCACCTAAAACTAAATCGCCCTTCAATCCACTATCCACCTATAACAGTAAGCACACGTTCATACGGACACTAACATAATCAGTAAACCTGAAATTCTTGGTGCAATGAAGTACAATTGAGTAGCAAAATATAAAATCAATCGTATAATTAAATACAGTAAATGTAATTCAACCAAATGCGGATTAAGAGAAACCTACCGCCATGGTCAGAATGGAATCGGACGGCTGGAAACTGTTGGGTCCTTCTTCCCACAGATATCCATCTCTCTCAACGGTAGTGATGTTGCCACCGATTCTGTCTCTGGCCTCCGTCACAATCACATTGGAAGCGACATCAAGGTGCTTGGTGGCGAGAGCTTGAGCAATGCATAGTCCACTGATACCACCTCCTACGATCACGCAATCCGCGATGGATGATTCTCCACCGTCAATTTTCGAAGAGGAAATTGTGGGGCCCTCGGCGACAGAGCATCGGAGCTTGAAAGGTTTATGAGAGCGTGGCGGAAGCTGGTGATTGGGTATGGAGAAAGGGGAAACGAAGGTCGACGACCGGAGAAGAGAAAGGCCCATGAGAGCTGTCATGTTGGAATGGCCGTGTTTAAAACAACGTGCGATTGAAGGTTGAAAGTACGACTCTGGCGATATTATGCTATCTTCAAGAGGGAAAATCTAGTGTGATACTCACAGGTTTCAGTCGGTTCAATTTTCACTCTATTTCTTTATTGGGTAAAGTACATAAATGGTCCCTTACTTATAGGTTATTATTTTATTGAGTCCCCAATTACTAAAAATTATAAAACGAACTCTTTTTTTTATTAATATAAGTGATAGTATCTGTTTATAAGTGGTAGCATATGTTTCCCATGACTTATAGGAATAACAATCATTATTTTAATCACTAAGGTAGTATTGTTCTTGCAAAAACATTTTATATTGAATAATGAAAAAGAAACTGAAATTTAATATTAACTATGATTAAATTTATATTTTTATTAATATTAACTCGTTAAAATGATGTTTTATAGGGTAAATTATGTGTTTAATACCTAAACTATCAATTTTGTGTTTTAGTATCTAAACTTTTAATTTTTTTCAAAATCATACCTAACATTTAGTTTTTATTTTATTTTAGTATCTCGAAGTTAAAAAATTTAATGACATGTATTTTATATGGGTAAATTCATCATACATCACTCAACTATTTTCTCACTCCTATTTTGGTACTAAAATTGAAAAGTTTCAATTTAACTACTCAACTTTCAAATTGCTCTTATTTCAATCACTCTAATTTATTATGTTATTAATTTTCGTGACATGACATTTTTTTATTATTTTTTATCATTATACAATTAAAAAAATAAAGTTAGAGAGATTAAATTAAGAGTAATTTGAAAGTTAAGTAATTAAATTAAAAAAAATAAACTTTAGTGACCAAAATAGGAGTGAGAAGATAGTTGAGTGATAAAATAATGAAGTTTACACTTAAAAAAGATTTTCATGTGCAAATCACCCGTTAAGTTTTTAACGGTGAGGTACTGAAACTAAAACGAAACAAAAACTAAACGTTATATATGATTCTGAAAAAATTGAAAGTTAAATACTAAAATTGACAAAAACTGATAATTTAGATATTAAACAGATAATTTACCCTTTTTATAATATGATTTATAATAATAAGATAATTATATATGTGGTAGGTAATTTATTTTTCATTTGAACGATTAATCATTAATGTTTGATATTCAGGATGTAAGAGAATGTTGTGAATTAAAATAGATTTAAAAGTAATCGAAGATTATATTCGTTATCTATCATTAAACTTTCTATATTGATCTTTTTACAGGTTGATGGTAACAATATCTCATTTATTTTGATTTGAATGAAAAATTGAAGTTATGAATTTAATAAATTTTATAAATTTAATCTTACTTAAAGTTTATAATCGACCGAAAATTCTTTGAAAATGATCTTGGTAGGTAGCGTAGGTGGGAAAATGGTATCCTCGAAGGAGCTATATCTCTGTCTCCCCGTAGGAAATATAATACTAATTCATTGCAAATTTTGATATAATTGTGAATACAATACAAACATTGGAATTGTATGTTTTCTATAAAAATAAAAAAAATAGGATAAATTAGAGTTTTATTAGGATAAGAGAGCATATTTTCACGGGAGCAGGAAATCTCAAATTTGTTACGTGGGCCGCCGCCTCATCCTTTGGGCGTCTAAACCTTAATTGTAAATATTAAAAAGGATAGAGGGACATTATAGACAATTGATTGACCTAAGAAACATGCGCATTACACACTTCGTGTAAGATAACACTTGAGTACGTTTCGAATTATGCTTCCCGGTTTCAAGCTGCTCAGTCACAACAGGTTTCTCTTTTCCCGCTTCTTTTTTCTCCTCCCAAAACGAGTATTACTCTGCAAGTCTACCATTTCTCTTCAGTTCTCACAATATTCTCGTTCAAAATCGCCGAGCAAAACCGAAAATCCAGCGCTCTTTAATTATCAGGTGAAAGGTGACTCGTTAGAAATGATGTTTCTCTCAGTTTCAATTTATTCTCGAATTGGATGTCTTTCTCAAATGTTATTTCACGTTTTCTTATAGATCTAAGTATAAATATACTGCGAATTTATGGCGCCGCTTTCTCATTGTTCGTGTTTTTGGATTTCAAGTTTCTCGCGGACTTCATACTTTTGACCTTTCTTTAGCTGTTTGGATTCAAATTTATGCTACTGTTTTTTTAATATATTGTTGACGGTGAATCTTGTGATTGGAAAATTTGAGGGTTGGATGATTTTCGTTTAATATATTTTTCTTGTTGTAGAATGGGATCATCGATTTTGTGCTAAATATGTATTATTATTTTTATGATTTCCTTTGAGATCTGATGATTTGGTGTCTCTTCCTTTACTTTAGTATTTGTTTGGTTGGTGGGAAACAACAAAATCGGAGAGAAAAAAAACGGTTAAAAACTTGGCATCTCATGAGAAAGTAGAGAGATCTCCTAAGATTATATCTCGGACTGACTTGAACTATGATTTTGCGTTTTGCATTTCCCCAATAACGAAACAGTGTTTTATAAGTGTACATTTCTCTATTTGTTTCTTCTTTTAAACTTCAACGGTTCTCTCAACAGGTTGCTTCTAGCAGCAGTGTCTGAAATGTGCATTTCAAGATAAAATTGTGAGAAGGAAAGTAGACGTGAGGCAAAGCTTACGAGAAGCAAGTAGGAGAAAATACCAATTCCTTAAGCTTCATATTCCTTTTATTGAACCATTTTGCCTCTTTCTTGCTCCAAGAGTTCGTTCTTAATAACTTGTTATTTGCAATTTTTGTTGCTAGCATGGCCTGCTTAGCATAAGTATGCGGTGGTACTTAATAGTTAATATTACTTGATTAGTTTTGCAATTCTATTCAATTATTATCTCGAGTAGTTATTTTCAAGTTACTGCAATTTGTTGGTGTTGTTTTCGCGGAATGTCTTAGTTATTAATTTTACACTTTTGAATAGATTTTTACTTATATAGAGCAAAATTAATAGCAGTGAACTGGTATTCTAGTTACTGCATTACTATTCCGGTAACTTATTGCAGCTCAAATAGCAGCTCTGGGATATTTAGTGTTTGATGCCCAGAAAATTATTTTTCAGGATCGAATGACTGACTGTCGAAGTTTTGGCAGCAATTTTCGTCCATCCAGCCAATCTAGAAAGATTTCAATTGGAGTTCTGGTAGACTCCTTAGCTAACAGAAAACCTGGAGGCAACAAGGAAGATCAGGATAAACACCCAAATGCAGAAAGAAACAAACCTAGCGTTGGAATTTCCACAGGGGGAAATGACAAAGGGGATGCAGTCAGAACATCCAAGGGGAATCAAACTGAAGATAATATGCAGGTTAAATCTCCATGGATTACTCCTAGATCCTTGAATAGAGAAACTCTCTCTCCAGAGACTGCCTCTTTACCAAAAGAAGCGTCCAGCCCCAGAGAGAAGAAATTGAATACAGTGAAGGATGTTCCAGAAATAAATTCATTTTCGTTTTCTCAAAACCAAAACTTTAGTGCACATAATGTTGGTACCGAGCAAAAAAAGGTTGATGGCCTCATTACTGGCCTAACCTACAAAAGGAAAGACAGGAAGGATGACAACTCACAGAGGGCGGAGGAGTTCAATTGTGCAAATCAATGGAAAGATAAAGTGGAGTTAGAGAAAAAGGCAGGTAAAACAGAAAACATACAAACTGAAACTTTGAAAAAGAAGCTGCATGAGTTGTTCGCAACTGTTTCTTCACCAAAAAGTCTGCAATCTAGTTTACAGTCTCATAAGGTCGGTTCCAATAATTCAAAACAAAAGAGAAGTGCTGATCATGTGGGAGAAACAGCTATAGAGCACAGACAAAATTCAGTTGATGCAGAAATTGTTGCAGACAATCCTGATAAGACTGTTAAGAAACCCGCAACCCATTCCTTGATCCAAAAGCGAGCTCCAGCAAAAGTGCAGCTTGCTAACTCTAAAATCAATTTATCCTCCAAGCAGAAATACGGAGATAGCATCTTCTCTTTTGGAGAAGGAAGATCTGCAAAGCTAGATGGTGCTGTCAATTATGGCTCATTATTGCCCAGGCAAAAGAAAAATGAGAAGAAAAGTTCTAAAATAGATCCACGTCAGATCAGTTCTCCTGAAGAGGAGAATGCAGATGAGATTGAAAGTCTTCCTGACTCTTCTAGTGAGAAAGGAGGGGAAAACTTGGAGAAGGTTCAAGAAAAGGACTCTTTTCATTCTCCAATGCGAAATGAGACAAATGAGCAGGTGAATTTTGACAATCCAACATCACCAGGAAAATGGGATAAACAAGAAGATGATGGCAATATATCCCCGAGGAATTTTGTGCATGCACAAGATGATTTCCAAAGTCCAACTTTCAGGTTCAATACGCCTATTTTAAATACTTCTTCATGCCCAACACCAAAAACTGTAGAGATAGAGCGAGGTACTTGTAGTCCTGTACCCATTGAGAGAGGATTTTCCATAAGAAATATCAGGACTTTCAGGACTTTCCAAACTTCAGGACCTGCAAGCACTAAATCCAATGCAGAAACTCAGTCATCTGTATCCTTAACTATTTTTCAGGATTCTAAAACGGGACTTGAATAATGTCTAAACTTGAGCATTATATTTTCTGCGTTTGCCCTTCCTTATTGAGGTCCAGGAAGATACAGAGAAGCATACAGCTTCTTCACTCAGGATTCGAATGCCTGGTAAGGAAACAATTGATGCAGTAAATGAGCATTCTGAACCATCATCATCAGCATCAGAAGAGCAGTTCTCTGAAACCTTCATAGAAGGATCACCCATTATTAATAGATATGATTGTAAGTACATAAAATGCTCTTCTGAAACAGAAAATATGCATTCCTCCTAACTTTTATTAGGATATGATTTACCAGTAGTTACTTCTAAATAACCATTTTTCCTTAAAAAAATCAATTAATGGGATGAGAAGAGTTCGTATTTGCCTTTCCAGCTCACGTTGTGCATTCTACCTGATTTATTACTGCCGACAGATTCATTATCA